GCTCACCCGGCATCGATAAATTCTATCTGTATTTTAGGTAGGTAAATTGAAGGCTGGCTTACGCAGATCCTCGCGCCTGCTTTTTCTATTGCATGGGATTCACCATTGTTTTCACTTTTTCGCGCACCCTGTCAATGACTAAGGCATCTTCGAAGAAGGGGTGACAAAGGCCATCTCTACAGTGCACGTTCAATTGGCCTCCGTTCATTGACCGCAAAAAAAGGGCATGCTGACGCATTATTTCATTAACATATCGTCACAATAGCCCTATATAAACTCGACCGTATGAAACGGCATTTTGTAAACGACTTCCCCCGCGCAGTCCACAAACTTGGTTACATGTTTGACAGTGCATGAAGGCCTGTTTCTGTAGATGGTTGAGCGTGTTGGTTATTAATTCACGATAAGGAAAGAGGGACATATAAGACAAACAGACAAGACAGGCTGACTTACCTGATCTGCGCGTGGACATGGTTGTGCTAAATTGCGTAACGCCGAGAAAACCAAAAAGCGAAACGGTTTGCAACCCTTTAGATGGCGTGATATTTTATGTAAGTACGGAATCACTTGGTTTCTTTTTTTTTTTTTTTTTTTTTGGGGGGGGGGGCCTTTTTTTTTAAGTACTGACATCCGCTCTTGACTTGTTTTAGGAGAGAGTGAGACACACCGAGAAAAACTGAAATTGGAATCCCCGCTCTTAAATGTCGCTTGACCTGCATTTGAAAGCTGTCAAGCATGATATTGTCCCGAATATGACAAATGATGAGGCGGCAAATAACTGAAGAAGCTGAACGCTTAAAGGGGGCGAACCTGTGCCCAAAACAAAAGAGAAGTGGGTTATCGTCGCAGGAGTAGATGTCGGCGAAACAGCACGATTGAGCGCTGGGGCGAAACTGCCTTTTTCCGTCATCTTTGAGGCGCGCCAGTCGAGCTGCGCACTTTTTCTGAGCAACAGCCAGACAAAAAGGAAAACTTCTAAAGCGAGGTGATCGACGGAGGCCTGCGAACGAAAAGTTTTATTGAAGTTTCAGCGAAAGAACACAAGTTAGGTTAGCAATCCTCGACGCTGCGAGCGTTACTCTGACTATCGGCAACCACGGTTCTGAGCACGAAACTTTCTCCAGCTCAGAAAAGCGCTGTCCTTTTTTTTTTAAATTTTATTTTTAATTTTTTTGGCAGAAACTTTTGATTAAACTTACGTCGAACTCAATCTTTGATATACATGAGGCCTGAAAACTGAGAACGGAATGTTAACTTACATTCAGAAAAGCCTCGAACATCTTGTTCAACTCCCATGCTACAATCGGTAACGCCATCTTCGCAGTCGGAGGACCCATTGGGACTGCAGCGCAGAAGTTTGGATGAGGGCATTGAAATGAGTTCAGAGTTCGGCTTAAATAGTTGTTACATGTTTAAAGAGTAATAACACGAATTAGAGGTTAAGACCACGAACTACTGTTGGGACATGGCAGCTAACGGCAACGTGGGACACACTCGGCGTTGGCTCGGCGCTTCTCAAAGAAACCCCTTCTCTCCCTCTTCCCATGGTCTGAGAGAAAGTTCAATGAGCAAGGGAATGAAGCTTGATAATGTGGATGCTTGGGTTAGTTGGTAATTCATGCTTGGATGAACCAGCGCGGATGAGCAGTCACACTCACAGGCACACAAGAAGGAAACAGATTCGCAGCGATGACTTATAACTCAGTCCTATATTTCTTCTTCCTCAAATCTTCAACTTCTTCGCCTTCGCCGTTAATGAGATTATTTTAAATTTCTAAACACCACTGACCAAATAGCCAATAAACATGAATAAATATCTAATAATTAAATAAATAAAAGACAACTAAAGAAATAATATTTTAAAAAATATTTCAAAAAGTTAAGATTAAATTAAAAATTAAATTTCAAACATTTAATAAAAATAAGCGAAAAATTTCTCATCACTATAGACCGACACGCGGAGCTGCTCTGTTTACCAACACGGCCGGAAGGCCGCGCATGCGCGGTAGCTATGTGGGCAAAAGCAGCCCCGCTCTCCGTGTTTTCGCCATTGCGCTCTATGGCGTGCGCTCGTTGTTGACGTTGTAGGGACGCTTGTATCTTTATTTGTGCATCGTATTTCCTCACAACGTATGTCGTATGCTATGCCCGACTATTTGAGCTCGTTGCCCGAGCCTGAACGGTAGCGGTATCGGAACAAACTGTACGTGGACGGCGTTGACTACGAGGATCCGTACTCCGTATAAACAAGACCTGCTGGACTTCCGACGTAAAGTTGCTGCCACCGACGTCGATGGCTCACGTCGTCGTTTATTTACCTAGTTTTTTCGCCAAGCCAGTTCACGGCCGACACGGTGCAGGCGTACACGTCTCTCGAGGTCTACGATTACTTCGAGTTGATTTCCGCACTGCCGGCGGGATCAGCAGCCTGTGGGTCCGCGGAAGTGTGTGTATTCATTAATTGATTAAATACACACAGCGTCTTCAAGTCAAGGTATGATATTTTCCCTGCCCTCATGACCACAAGGCATGACAAGCAGTAACACTTTGTCCGTTCTGCAGTCTTAGCGGTAACAGGTTCCAAGTAACGGCGTTGTTGGTAACGCGTTACTTTTTTCAGTAACGTAGTAACCCACTCGTTACGTTTTCGACACAGTAACGTACTTGTGTTTCCATTTCAAGCAACGTAGTTACGTTACTCGTTACTACTTCCTAAGTCTTAAAGAAATTACACTTCAATTTTTTACGTGTTTTAGGCGTCAAGCCACGATGTTCTGTGCGTTTTTTCTCGTAAGTATTTAGGTGAAACCGTAAAAAGAGATAAAGTAATTATGTTCAGTTTCTGCATGAACATAATGTTTCTTGATATATTACCTGTATCGTCAAAACCGTAAAATGTGTTAAATCATAATTTAAAAAAGTAACGCAGAATCAGAAGTAACGTGCGTTACTTTATATCGGCAGCGGTAACGCGTTCCTTTTATTTTTAGGTAACGTAGCTCGGTAACGCGTACCTTTTATTTGCAAGTAACGAGTAACGTATTTCGTTACTTTTTTTCGGTAACGCCTACACGACTGTCGTTCTGTCGCCGTTCCCCTTCTGCTGGGTATATCACGGGCGTAACGAGCCTCCGACGAGCGCTTGGCCGGTGCTTTGTGCGCGAACACCATGGGAACAAAATCTGGGTGGTCTCGATCAGACAACGGTTTCCCTGCACATAAGCAAGCCTCGGGACGGAGATTGAAATGGAAGCCGCCCTTGCCTTCAAGAAAGTGTTTGCCGCACAAACGGTCATTCGCGCGAGGCGACCATACTTTTCGATGCACGGATATTATCCACCTTCTATGCCTTGCAGAGTCTGCCGGGAACTTGTGGAAACTCACTCTGCTGCTTTTATTGTACATTTTGGCGCAATTAACGCCAACACAGCTTCGCGGCATGCTGAAATGCTATGACGCCCATGCGAAACGTGCGCGCTTTTGCCCACACCCCCCGGCTCCGGCGCGATCGCAGCGCCGCCGCAGCTCCGTGACGTCAAGCCCGCGTGTCGGTCTATTGGTTCTTTGATGATATCTCTAGATAATCAAATTCTTTCTTTGACAAAGCTAAGGATGATACACTAACACATTGTTTGTCCAACCTGGCTATTTTTTTCAGCTTCGATGATCTCTCGTGTCAGCTGATTACCACTTCTGGCAATGACAGTGCAGTTACTCAGGTCCGCTGAACACCCGCAATCCCGGCAATGGATTCCTGGATTTCCTAATATTACTCTGTTTATGTTATAATGATGCTCTCGTAATCGGTCATTGAGACACCTCCCGGTCTGCCCGACATACTGTTTTCCGCATGACAGGGGAATTGCATAAACCACCCCTTCAGAGGATGGAACAAAACGGGAGAGTGCTTTTTGGTACAACCTAAGGTTCTATCGGAGGATGAATTGACTTTTTTACTTAAACTAGAGAAATTATTAAATTTTTCAAATTAATTTTTTTATTCAATCTTAATTTTTTTAATATTATTTGTTTAGTTGTCTTTTAGTTATTTAAATATTATTTATTTATTAATGTTTATTTTCTATTTGGTCTCTGGTGTGTAAAATTTTAAATTGTTCTCATTAACGGCGAAGGCAAAGAAGTTGAAGATTTGAGGAAGAAAAAATATACGACTGAGCTGTAAGTCAGCGCTGCGAGTCTGTCTCCTTCTTGTGTGCATGTGATTGTGACTGTTCATCCGCGCTGTTCCATCCGAGCAAGGGAAAAATATTAAACGAAGAAACTTAAGATTGCTTACGTGTAGAAGCGCGAAAGCACTTCTACACACAGCGCATTACTACAAACAACGCGCCACGTCTTCCTTTTGCACACGGCGCTCCGGCGGTGACTTCACGCTCCCACACTGCGCAGGCGCAGAAAACCCCGCCGGCTCCAAGGTTTTTGTGACGATGCATCCGGGTTGCTGTGCTTTTCTTTCTGTTTTGTTTCTGAGGCGCGCCCGCTTTGTTTTTGAGCTCCGCCGGCTTCCGTGACGAAGCATCTGCCTTGCTGTGCTTTTGGCCAATGGGAATTCAGGTGCCGTTTTTGCTGCTACAGACAACTGCTACAGACAACGGCTACAGACAACGCTGACTTAGCTCTATGGTACCAGTTAATGCTTTCGCATTAAAAAATTCGCGAACTTGTTACACGTGAAGGACACGACGAACTTTGAAACCTTAATAAAATCCTTTCCCTCGTCGCCACTGTTACAAGTGTGATTCGCATGATGATTTAGAACGGCCAACGTTCGGCGGTGGCAAGGAATGGAGACCTGACACGGCTAATTCCGTTCCAAGCACCAACTGACGTGCCGTGTGGGCACCTCAGATGGTGTTTATAAACACCATCTGAGGTGTTTATAAACACCATCTGAATGACCGCGCTATATGTATACATATAGCGCGGTCATTCGATGGTCACATCACACTATAGGCTATCAGCGAATCCGGTGGCGCGACATGTCGGCCGTCCATACGATTGTAAGACTAAAGCACTTGGGGACGCTCCAATTATCTCTTTGCGCTATAATTAAAATTGCACTTTTTTATCTTGCAGAGAGCAGTCCAGCGAAAGAAAAACCTGGTGAGTACCGTCCAATTATTTTATTTCGTTTTAGTGCCGTGTCAACCTATTTTTGCAATAAGCTGCGTTGTCTAGTTTATCTTCAGATCTTCACCGGTTTGAGATTTTCAAAAGTCTATTTTGACTTTTCGTGACTCTGAGGTTATCGATTTCTGTAAATCAATACTCCCAGAGTCACAGATACCTTGAGAAAAAATGATTTTATTAATTTGCGAATCTCTAAAGGTTTACTCATTGCTTTTCAAAAGGAAAACATGTTAGGCCATGACCCGGGCTAGATCCGTGGAACAAATATAACAAAAATATGAAAAGGAAATGAAATTTGCCAGATATAGCAAAGAAGCCGCTAATATTGCCTAATGTCAGCTCCTCGAACTCGTAATGGTTCAGTCTTGACAATTGGGTTCATCTTTCTTGAACTTGAACTCGGTTAATTTAGATCAGAAGACATCCTAGGTCTTGACATGCGAGTGAACCTATGAACTTCATACGATAAAGATTTCAAACGGAGGTGATGGATCATCGTTTGTGTAGGTAAACGGGAAGGCTGGGCCGTACGCGCATCAAACTTGCTTCACCCGACTTAGGTGGAGTATGTTTGATGGGTTCCCATTGCCCTTTTGAACACATGCTTTTGCCGTTTGTAGACCAATTTCCAGTTTCAACGTTCTTCAGTTCATCTGACTGTCTCAGGGTTGGCGATAGCCTTCCAGACATTTCCAACATATTTATAGTGTTGATATATCTGGTAAAAGGGGAAGGCAATCCTCCCTTTCAACTGCCTGACTCCACTGGCTAGATGTTTTCACATGAATAATAATAATAAATATTGTAATACTCGGTGATAAAAATAAGTTTCAGTGGAATCTGACCTAAATCTGGCGAATTTTACTTATGCTTTACATTTCAGTTACATCGGTTTTATTGTTTCAGTTCCATATCGGAGCATAAAACCCCTGCCAGATGGGCACATTAAAGGTCTTCACAACAAACTCCATAAAAGAATCGGCAATTTAGCTCACGGCCATGCGGTTATCTGCGTGCGCTTGTTCACCGACCATTTAAAAAAAGTTCGTTTTGAAAGCCATTAACGGTGCCCGTCTGACAGCGGTATAATATGGCTTTACAAGAAATACACAAACCACAAACCTGCCTTTAGAAAAATATTCCGCGCCACATGTCAGAGGGAGGGGCAATGTCAAGCTTGAGACAATTAAGTTCTGAATTTTAGGCCACTTTGTTTTATGCGTCACGTTTCTGAAGACCCATAGGGTTCACGCTTTTTAATGACAATGCAATGCGGATATAGAACACGAAGTTAAATTTATGTTAAAATTAGATCGAATTAAAGGAGAGCCCTGTCGGTATTTTGAGCTGCCCTTACCAAACATATTTAGAATACCCAGGATTTATTAACTCTTTAATGCATGATATTCATTACCTCTAAATTCAAGATAGCTATTGATAGAACGGAAAATAAGGGTGATGTCAATACCAGCATTCAATTTTTTTTTCGAGCTTTCCAGTGGGGTGACGTTATATGTTGTATACTTGCAAGTCGGGCAAGCATAGTCTAAAACACAAAATATTTAGTGCATGTTTTTTTTTTTGTAAGCTTAATCAGCATTCATTTCACACAATCAAAACTCGTGTAACCCTTCGCGAACAAGCTGAAATGCCCACCTAATATCTGATGCTGTGTTTTCGGTGTTTTCAGTAAAGCCTCTCAGACCAAATTTAAACTTTCAATAACTTAATGAAAAAAACTTTTGTGACTTGCAATTTGGGGTACTAATATATATTTGTCTACGATTCACCTTCAGTTCAGATGCAGCCGACGCTACAAGCTGATGAGATGAATCAGACCGCGTCAAAAACGTACCATCATGGTGCTCATATTTCTGTACGTGTTCCATGATTGCTTAAGTAATCATAAACGGAAAGGGCTTAGTAACGTGCACTTTTGACGCTGCTTGATTGGTCTCATTAGATCTTAGCTTTGGCTGCGTCTGCGCTTATGCTGAAACAAACTAAAGTAATGGGATTACTAAATTTTTATGCCAATTTGTAATTAATTCAATTTCACCAGAGCTTCTCTTAAAGAGGCCGTGAGCTTTCTGCGGCACCAGAGTTTCCTTTTGGAAGGCATTAGGTGATCAACAGAAGACTGTTGCGTCGTTTTTTTTTTTGTTTTTTTTTTTTTGTTTTTTGCTTGTTTTTTTTAAACATGCTAGTGGTATACTGCTGTTTCGAACCAAAGACCAGCTCTTCAATATTATTCATTTTCAATTAAATGTGTTTCCAAAACTTTCTTTTTCTATTCAGGGTAGTTTATACAACATGGGGAAATGTCTAAACCTTAAATTTTGTATGCAAAGAAGTCAAGCAAGGAACAAACAGCAGAACGCTTAGCAATAGGATAGGTGCAATGACAGCTGGAACAGTTTGAGCAAATACCGGTGTGCAAGGACAGCAGAGTTTCTTGAACAATAAAGTTGGTATGTAAAGTGCCTCTAAAATGCCGAGTTAAGGTTGATAAAAACAAATGTCCAGTGCGTAGGTCCTCGGCGCAACATTATTCGCAGATTGTAGTCCGTATTTGTGTGGTTGTCCGAAGCAAATGTTTTGCTTCCCCGCCTGCCTAGTGCATATACAGAGCACAACAATTAACACTAGCGTACTACGAGTTGGCGCACAGGGGATGCTATTAAAATAAATGCAGGGTGCGGTGGCTCCTATTGGAAAACACACCTTGAGGGGCAGACCAAAGCGCGGCGATAGAAGTTCGCTCGCCGCTGTACGCCGATTTCGGTAATAAAGGCTGTACTTAATTTTCCAAACAAGCCAGCTATTACAAAGCGTGACATTGTTACAAGTGACCTTGTAACTCTTGGCAGCATAATGTTTTTAAAATTAATTGAGTTCGTTCATTTTCTTTTTAATCAAGAAGGAAGCGAAACAAAAGATCCAACATCTGATGGTGAGTACTGTCTGGTGTTTCATTTAGTTTAAGTGGGTTATGAATTATTTAAGACACCCCCTTTCGTCTAAAAAAATTAATATTTTCATACTTTTAGAACTTTAGATCTCTATTCAGCAGGTATTTTAAATTGAATATTTACTTTCCTAAAGTCGATCCCTCATTGAGTTCTGCAATGTAACTTTTATTTATTCGGCATTCTTCTGAAAGTCAAGTTAGTTTAGTTTAGGGATACTTCAAACAACAACAATAATTTGGCGCCAATATTGGTGTCCAGTACTTTTTTTAATTGCGCGCCTCATAGGTTTATTCTGCTTTGTTGTTTAGATGTGCAGCTCATTACATCAATAATAAAAATTAAGCACAAGAAAATCTTTCAAGTACCTTCGTTTATTCAGAGGCTATGTTCATCCCAATTTTCGTTTGAGTGCGCTAATTACACTCGATTTCTATAGATAAAAGAGCAGTGTTGAAACACTTGCGCTATAAATACGCTGTGTAAGTGTATACTAGTATGTTACGTCTTTCGTTTCTCGTGAAAGGAGGTCCTTCATTGAGAGTACTAATGTAAACATGTAATTTTCTCATTTGTAGTGCTGACGTTATTTCTTTCTTCCTCTCAACATGATGTATAGATAATAGTATGGTTCAAGAATCAATCAATTATTTCATGTTTATTGTTCCCCTGAACAGCTGGCAGGCCTTAGTCCTTCAACTCACATATGTACGAGAGGTGTAAGACAAAACTAAATCGGAAGGAATCATTCGTACAGAAGCTGCATGCGTGTCAATGAAGGGTCAGATGGAGGGTAAAAACGGCGTTTTGTTTATTTTGTTGTCAGGATACATGGATTCAGATTTTACTTTCTAGCAGCAAAGAATTACAAGCAGAATTGAGCACTTTATAGCCGATATCTATATCGCAAATTAGAAGCCTCTCCGAAAGAAGCAAAAGACCAGCAGTGGATAATTACTATAATTACACCGCATAATCATAAAACAACTCTTCTCTGATATGCCGATCGTACACAACTCTCACAGAGCGTCATTGCGCATACTCTAACCTTAGCGATTTACTAACGCCGAGGTATTCCATACAGCAAAACAATATTGTTGACAGACTGCAACGAAGCCTGACTAATGCAGTCACCTATGTATTTTGTCGGTATAGTCTCCCTTACTCGCCTGTTGATGTCATCACTCCCCTTGTGTATAACTTCCCTCTCTGGCCAAGTGGCTATACAGTTGCTACACTCGTGAGCGTATTTTGCTATTTCCGAGTTCGATACATTGTTCTTTGCGTTCCTTTGATGCTCGTTTAATTTATCGCCAATGCACGTTTACGTATTAACTGCATATTTAAACCCACGAGCTAAGGTATTTCGTACGAGACACCGTTTATGCAACCAACTGATTGTTTTTTCACAATGATCTTTTCTGCACTCCCTCGCACCTGCGTGTAATGGCGTCACCCTGTTCAACTCATTGATCTCTATTGTAGTAGGCTGGACCGCGGATTGACGCTTGTCTTGCAGGGGTCGAGCGGCACCACTGGGAGCCATTGCTTGACACCAGGTAATGCATGAGGCTCTCTGGGAGGAACAGAAAGAACTGCGATATCTTACCTTAGTAGGTTTTTTCGCCTATAAACTCTTATCGTGTTTCTGGAAATAACATTTAATTTTCTGGGCGCAAATATCAAAAGCATTCCGATTCCACTTTTTTTTTTTGTGTGTGTGTGTTTGAGGGTCAAGGGGTTGCGACTTTGTTGGGCGTACATTGCGCTGTGGTTTAGGAAGACAAGGGTTGCCGAGTGTCAATGTGGAGTCGAAGTCATCAGAGCTTAGCAGACGATAAGTTCGAAGGCACTCACTGGGGACATTCGCATCGTTTCAAGCGATTGTACAGAGCAAGTCAGGTACAAGCCTTTGCTTTGAACTGCCATGAGGGCTTCTGTGGCGAACTAAAACTTGAAATTAAGCATGAGGAAGATACATAGAAAGGGGGACGGACAACAAGGACTTATGTATCTTCCTCGCGCTTCATTACTGTTACCAACACGCTCGGTTTGTACTTAAAACTTGAAGCGTGTCGTTGATTTGTTGAAAGTGTCATTTATTTAGCAACTGAAGCAAGCGACGTCGGCACTGTCGGTGGTACTCCTGCACTTTTGATTTTTGTATCGGCGTTCGAACACTTGAAAAATACCAATTCGATCTCCAAACACCCGATATAATGATCGCACCACATCGTAAAATGATCGCGTTAAAGTATCGCGTGCAAGCTTCAATATTCGTACCTTTGCGAATTTCTCCCATAGACTTGCGTGGATTGCCTGGTGTCAAGCAATGGCCACCGGAGGTGCCACCGATGGGTTCCCAATCCGCGATTCAGGTTATTACAATAGAGATCACTGGTTCAACCTGAAATTCGAACTAAATAACAATAACAATAACAATATTTTATTTCAACTCAAGAGAGCTAGGCTGCGCTGGAAAGGCCAAAGGCCCGTACCGAGGGGCCCAGCACATTAACACGTAACTACCCTTAAAGAGACACTGACACCACTTAAAACAAATTTTAATTTTTTGCCACGCAATTTAGTATTGTGTCAGGGGACTACCCAATTAATATCTTGCTACAGAGTCACGTATATTCTTAATAAAGCCAAAAACGCAAGTGCTCAAAACCGAAACGAAAACATGCGCACGGAGGTCGGAGAAATAAAGGCTGTGTTCCAAATCTTACCCAAATGAATCCGAGTTACTCCGGCGGGTCGTGTCACGTGACAACGCGGATTGAAAAACGCTGGACGCGGGTAGATTTTAGAACGCCAAGGGTGCAAAACCCTTACCCTGGAGTAAGATCGAGTAAATTTTGGAAAACGGCCTTAGAGGAGAGAATGGGCACGAAGTCACGTGGCTACGCCCAACCGGCTTTCTTGTTTGTTTTTTTTTTCTTTTTTTTTTTCGGCCGAGCACAGCAGATGACGCGGGTTGACGTGCGACTTATTTGCAGTTATGTTTGTTCCGCTCGCGGTTCTGCACTTCAGTATGAGTATTTTTTTTTGGTACACTGAAGGGTTGCAAATGAGTGATGAATGCCCGTGATCGGCTCCGGAAAAAATGCCTGCAATATGTTGCGTGGGGAGCTGCCTCACAGGTTTTGCATTCAAAAGTGTCATTGTGCGGCAGAGTCTGCACAAGTTCCCGAAAGGTGAACAAGCTGGGGACCAGTGGCTGGCTGCAATTCCGGCAAAACAGCTACGGGCACCTCGGAGAGCGGACACTTTCCGAGGTGCCCATGCGTTGTTGACGTTTCGTCAACAACTTTTTTTTTTCGGTGATAGTTGCAAAAAAAGAAATGTAAATATCGCAAAATGTCCACATTCGCACCTAGTAAATAAATCGTACGCATGCATATTCAACTCAAAGTACGCACTTCGTGCTTGACGTTTGCGCGTTTTTCAAGCTCTTACCAATTTGTGCTCGTAAGACGAGCGGTGTCGTCAGCCGCGAGAAGGGGCGACGACTCGACGACGTTTTCGTGCAAATCGGCTTGGTGGTCGAGCGTGTCGTGCGGAATGAATCCTAATTGTTTTGATCGGTTCTAAATTTCTCTTTCGAAGGAAGACAGAATTCGCCGGTACCGTGAACGACAGTTCTCAAGTAGAGGTCCCACGCCCGTCGTCCGCTGCCACCCACGAGTCCCACGATACGCGAGACGACGCCATGTTGAGAACTATGCAGTAAACGCACAAAATGCTTCCATCTGTTTGTGCTATTTTTTTTTCAATCAACGTATTTGCGACTTTTTAGAAACCATAAAAAGTAGGTTTCATTTTTTTTGCATTTTTAATATTGAGTGTGTGCCTCCCATGACCTACAACTTTAATTAAATTCGGCAGTTGTGTCTAAATTTTAGTAAACGGCCCGTGGCTACAGAGAAGAGAGTGAGCGAGACTCAAACCGGCCATTTCTCGATCGGCAGTTTTCCGGCGGAAAGAAACCGAATTTCGAGCCGAAAATTCTGTTGCGGGTAGTTGGGCTCTCATATGTTACGTACAACTAAAAACTTCGGCGAGCATACATACCCTGTCAGTGACCCTTTAAAATCTTCACACAGGCTTTTAGGTTATGAGAGATTTCACGAAAAAAAAAAAAGGTTCCCAGCAAACTGGCTCCTTGACGTTTGTTCCCCTTCTTTTTCGCTTTTATGAAGAAATTATACTTGCCTTTTGATAAACCTTTCACCGTACTATGGACTGTTCAATCTTTTCCATGGCCCTTGAACCAAACTCGCGATAAAACGCATGCACGACCTGTCTACCGCATATCAGACTAAGTACGTCGCAATCTCTGCTTTCACGATATGGAATAACAACCAACACATGGCAAAACTTATTTCAGATTGTCATTTCGTATTCCCAGCATAACCCTTTCTTAACATCTAAACGCGAATCCAGGAACTGCAAAACATCATTTATCCTACTTTTCCACAGTGAATTTCAACTCCGACGCCTCTGAAAGCATCTAGTGTCCTAAATTGCCTAATATACATTCCTTAAATGAGGAGATCAAAATGTCGTCTACATATATCTCCTAACAAAGCAACTATACTCAGGAAGATTTCTTGCAGTCTATCAAGTACTACGCAATCCAACGAATTTAGGAACACGTCCGCCAACACTGGCGCGACTAACGACCCTATACATACACCTATTTGTACGTATTTCCATTCTATTCCACTACAGTCAACTTCAGATTCAACTGTAGTATTGCAAGGGAACTTTCAACAGATATACCCGAACCCGACAGACATTTTACGAGATTTCGTTCCAGTGCCTTTGCATCAACCTACATTTTTTCTTGCGAATACTTCGAGTCCATAATATTCATTGACAAAAGTGAATATTTCCTCTCATGACGGTCTTCCAAGGAGAATAAATTCTTTAGTGATAGCGTCGTATCTAAAAAAAAACCCGTTGAAGAAGCTTTGAGACAACTTGTTACCACGTCCCGTTTTCGATAATAAATAGACGCAGGAAAATTTCTGGTTTATGGTTTATTGTCCCCCGTGGACGCAGACACATCTATGGGACACTGGGTTACATCTTTCAATTAAGCATTTAGGTCGGTTTCTCCTTTCAAGATAGACTGGGAAATGTCCGAAACGGTCGGAACAACAATGATGTATGTGTGTTTTAAAATAAAATGCGTTATATGGCTGGCACCTAACCATATCCGGTTAGGTGACAGCAACGAAAATAGACAGGCCGACTGCCAGTCAAACGCCGACGCAGTCCTCGTCCCCTTACTGACAGGAAACCAGTGCCAGCCGAACTTCTTCCTCGAGGGCCTCCGTGTGCATTTGCCGCAGCACGTTGCTCTGAGTGATTGGTTCTCTTTTGCCGCAAGCTGGCTCCAGGGCTCTGCTCGGCGCTGGAGCGTTCTAACTGTTCTGTTTTCCTTACGCTCCATCTAACGCGTCTCACACTCCAACGGACTTTGAGAAAGTTGCATTTAAACTTCAAACGCAGAAGATGGCACTTACAAGTAGGACGTCCACGGAGTTCTCACGCGCCTGCCCTGCACAACACGCCCCCTTCGCGCCATTTTGTCTTGACATATACCCACAGTTTCTCCACTCTAACATACCACATTCTATATTGCCGCTGCTTTTGTTAAGCTAGTACGGCAGAGGGTCGACTTTTTTAACAGTTGTGAAATCGATCCCTTTGTTCCTTCGTGTTTATATTTTGGTTTTCCCTGTACTTAGCGGTTTGATGTGAATACGTTATGGTACAAAGGGTATGGGACAGAATAAGAGCAGTAGCTCAGTATGAGACGTGGCCTTGTCCCTTTTTCTGTCTTTTCAACTTTTTGATGTTTGTCTTTTCTTACTGCATAGCCTCAGGTAGAATTCATAACGTTTTACCTTTAGCAGCTGTTTGAACGCTTACCATTTTTTACGCTTGACAGTTTTTTTTAGCAGTAATATTTAAGTTTTCTAACTTCGCAAAGGCAACAAAAAATGCTTAGCTTAGCGTTGTTATTTTTTATTACAACTAGGAATATTGAAGACTTGTTTTTTTTTTGTATCAAGGTAAACTTTCTTGAGAGCAAAACGAACAATCTCTCTCGGTTATGTTGTGCATTATCCAGTCATATATATATATATATATATATATATATATATATATATATTTATGGTATAATAATAATTAAAAACTGTTTCAAATATATCAAAAGCCTAGCATGCCCGAATTATCTTTCTTTCAAATACGGATTCTACCTCATTTGCAATTTATGAAATAGCCAGACACTACCTATATTTTGAACCGTCAGCTGAAAAAGGAGACAATCTCAAATATTAGGAAGTTTTAGAATAGCGCACGCTAAAGCTTTGCGTACGCAAAGAATAGCGTTATCGCCACTGCGCATGCGCGTTACGCGAACCACGTTTTACACTTTGCGTGTGCTATTTTAGCGTACGCTATTTTTCGGAAAAAGCGTGCATATGTAAAGATTCTTTGCGCTCCTCCACGAAGGATTCGTGATGAGAAGTTGGCTAAAGCCAAGACGAGCAGAGTTAAAAATATGGCGGGCCCCAGGATCGTGGCTGCCACCGCACTGGCGGCGTCGTGGGGGCGAAGTTGGCGGCATTCTCGCGACTGCAATTTTCAATACGGGACGACATTCCACTTGGTTTGAAAAACCCAGTAAGGGGGGCAACGATCATTGGCAACTTGATGCTTGCTTGCGACGCGCGAACATTTTTCGCCAAAGGTCAGTACGCGAGACACACATTGCCGAGGCGACGCAAGCGGACACGACCAAACGACACCTCGCGTCTACATTCTCATGTTTAAACAAATCTAAAATGTTACTCTGGACCAAAAAACTTGTTTTATTTATTTATTTATTTTTAATTTAGAGCATTTCGTGGGTTGAATTAAAAATTGTGGCTGTATCTTGGTGGCGTTGCAAGCGCGAGATGCTTGGGCTATTGCGTCGCGGAGGAGAAACGCTATTCTAAAACTCTCTTGCGCAGCGTGCGCTAACGCAAGCATTATATATAGCGCTAGTGTACGCTAAAATTGCGTACGTTGCTCTAAAACTCTCTATTGCTGCTATGCAAAGACTTTAAACTTGTTTTATTTTATAGGAAATTCAGGAAATGAAGAACAAAACGATGAATCAGCCAAGAGTATGTATCTACTGGTTTACGTTTTGCATTTGTCGCATGTGATATAGTTATTATTAAAAAAAACATTTCAATTGTCCAAATAACAAGGAGAAGCTTTAAAACTTTTTGCATAATGCTGAGCTTTGTGTGATAGAATCCCCAACCACAATCACCCCAAAAACTCACCAAAGCGTTTCCAATTGTACTGGTTGTAATTGTCACAAATTGTTTTATTTGCAACTCCTCGAATTTTCTAACAAGTTGCAATTAGAACCAATTTTTTTTTTTGTTACATCACCGCAATAAAACACTTCGCAATATATTTGTATGCTAGTCTATACTTGATATATACTCTCACGGGGCAGTTTCATCGCCTTATCTGGTTCATTATGTGGATTTGCGTCGATTAAAACTTTTAACCCAATTTCTCGCCCCCTCTAGTCGATTAATTATTAGATTAATTTATTACGTTCAATATCATGCATAGCAGCTTTTAAGAAGTCAAAATTGCATTGTTTGCCCTTTCTGCATGTGAGATAAACGGCGGAATGTACAATATCAGATTTTAAATCTACCTTGATATGTAGTTGAGAGCAATCAAAAGACGCCTACACTCATAAATCATTAGCTAGCCGCAGAGGAAAAGATGTTTGTTCGTAGTCTCGGGCAGTAGCGAACTCCTTTAATTGCCCAAAAAAGTCTTTGCTGCGCTAAAAGGACACTTGCACGGCAATGAAGTGGCGGGAGTACAAATAACCTTCTCCAATTGTTTGGAGCTACAAATCTCGCCCCTACAGTTCAGTTTAGGCAAACTTTCACCTGAAGATTGCCTTCATGCATATGTAGTCTTCCGCGTCATCACGGCGATACCGTTAAGTTTTTAATTTGTCGAAATTTAACCCATAAAGCATTTAGAAAATTTAATCGCGATGAAAGCATTATCTGAATAATCGGTAGGTTTGTCCATCAAGGGCCCAGACGTAGTCCGTTATGCGAAAATAATCGAAAATATATAGAGTAATGAAACGTACTGATCTAAATGGATATTTTTACGAGGCTGCCGAACTACAAAGCCTTTGGCGGCGCCGGGACTTAGACTCCTGGACTCCCAATTACCGGTTGATTAGACGGCGTGGTGCACAACAAGCCCGACCGGTAATTGAGAGACCCGGAGTTTAAATCCCAGCGCCGCCAAAAATCTTGTCGTTCTGCGGCTACGTAACAAATATTCTATAAAGCTGTATGATTTATTCATCTTCATAGTCTTGATTATTGATGCATACCATATTTCGGTACCTATATTCGCGAAATCCGAGAAGGCATGCAAGTTCGTTAAGTTTCTTAAAATAAATATTTATTGGCCATACTATTACATAATATTTAAAATATAAATTGCAAGAAATTCTAGGTTTTGTTTAAATAAATACAAAACTTCCAAATGGCGTCCACCACTTTTCTGTATCATCATCGTCGCTAAAAAGAAACACAAAAAAAAAAAAAGAAAACAGAAAATTAGTTTTTAAAGTATCTCGATGGGACAAGTACGCCACAACATAAGTTTGCCACAAAAAGCAATTAGCGCTATATTTACGCCGCAAGACGCTATTTAGATGGAGGTCACGGCCCGCTGATTTGTGGGCGGGGCGCCCACAAATCAGCGGCCCCATTCATAGCGACTGAATTTGCTTGGCGGCATCGTGCGCCCACTGGTTTGCGAGCCAGCGCAAACTAGTGGGCACACTAGTGGGCACAGTTGCAACACTCTAATATCTAGGCACACTTCGTGTGCCTAGATATTAGAGTGTTTGCAACTGCTCGACCGGAGTGACGTGGTTTATGGGCCGAGTCCGCAATAAAAGCGGCGAGGAGGGTCGCCTGCAGGTGAGTTGATCGCCCGCAAGTTTCTCCAGCCTTGTCTGTCTCTGTGCTCGTTATCCTCCTTGCCACGCAACGAGCAGAGCAGGGATGGGCAAAATACATGCAAATATGTATCGAAATACAAATACAAAACACTTCGTCAAAAATGTATTTAATTACAAATCTAATTACATTTCCAAAAAAAGCATTTAAGTACAAGATACAAATACAACCAAATGTATTTGGTCTCCTCCAAATACTTTTCCAAATGCGTTCCTCAAAATTTGCGTCAGCGACTTCAGGGCACCTGCAACGGGGTTCTGGGTATCTCATTTTAATTTTGCATCGCACATTCGGGAGTTAGTGTGCGAGGCTCTAGTAACATAACAGAAATATAATAACAAAAAAAATATAATCAGCTTGGACGTAATAAATGAAAAAAGTACAGAGCTTCAAGCAGCTTTTTTTTGTCGATTACATTTTGGTATAGACCAACAAAGAACCGAGATGACCAAGACGCGCAGCACTAGGTAGAGAATTTTTTATTGTTGCAACTCCTCAACAGTTAAGAAAATCTGGACGACCCGCGCATTTAGAATGTTCCAGGCAAAAATATGGATGGAAATCAGGCTGGAAAGCATCACAAGTTGTCACAGCCAGGCACTTATTTAGCGAGTCTGCCTGTGAACGTCGATTTCGTCACTATTCTTGCCCTGGACTAGCACCGTAACCACAAAGTCACTAAACGCTTGTGCTTGATTGAGAGACACTGCATTCGATGCAGAACGTAGTTTTCTTCCTGCTCTGGACACGTCTTAGGATGTGCAAAATGAGCCGTGACAATAAATTTGAGCGATGTATTTTCGCCCACAAAATTGTATTTAATTACAATTGGATTTGAAATACCCACGTTTTAGTATTTAAATACACATATCAAATACATTACCCAATTTGTAATTAAATACAAATGCAAAATACACAAAGTATTTGGAATACGTATTTGAAATACTTGTATTTAAAATACTGCCCATCTCTGGAGGAGAGTTTGCGAATGGGCAATCAATTCACAGGGAGGTAGGTGTCCGCCATTAAATTCCAGCTCTTCGCAGTTTGAGTTGATCCCCCTCTTAAACCTAGGCTTTTAAACAAAACGCAGAGAACGCCATAGCAGAGCATGGCGACGAGCAGGAAAATTGTTATAAAGGTCTACTCTAATAAAATCCATAAACGATGATGCAGATGTATTTCGCATTTAAAAACAAGCGAAAACTTTTGTTGAAGAAAAATTATTTATGAAGCAGACAAATGTTTGCTTGACTGTGTATTTTTTTTTCGTTCGCGCACCGCTACACGGCCAGCAGAAATGCGCGAACAGATAGCAACAAAAAAACTAAAAAAACATTTGATTTCTTTGAGGTGTAGTTTTATTGAACAGAAGTTTTTCCGTTTTGAAATGCGAAATAAAAGTGAATAATTGTTCTTATAATATGTTAAAATTATTAGTTATCGCAATTATCTTGCAGGCCGCCAGACTCTATAGTAAGCCGTTCTCAGCGTCTTAGCTTTCAGTGCGCCACCTGATAGCAGGCCCTCAAATCAAAGTGTGGACTACGAACAAGCCGGTAAAAGCACCCTGCAAAAGTACGGACGCGGATCTTTTTTTTTATATTTTAAGATTTCCCCAGCTTCGATTTGAGCTATAAAAAAATGAAAGCCGTTTACAACTCCCTGTAACGCCGAATCAGAGAGCAGCTCTTGAGGAGGAAGGAAGGGTACTGAGGGTCACGTGTTCTCAGGGGGGGGGGGGGGGTTCATGTGACCTGGGGGTGTGGTCACGTGACCTTGGGGGTCACTTGACCTCGGGGTGTCACGTGACCTCGGCGGGGGTCACGTGACCTCGGCGGGGGTCACGTGACCCCCCAGGTCACGCGACCCCCCAGAGAAATTTTGCCGCTAAATTTCGCGGGGGAATTTACCCATAATGCACCGCACGGTTACGCCGACGGCGACGGCGACGCTGCTCAAGCCGGGAACGGGCGCCTAAGAGCTGCGCTCTAAAACATAAAGCGTTTTGCTAAATGACGCTGGCGTACTCAGTTTCAGGTATGAATACTTGAAATCCGAATTTCACAAGAGGTGCCAAATGTGCTGGCTCTTAGGATATGCCTGTAGGCGCCACCAGTTCGATGCTCATGCCAGCTTATTACATTATTCACGATTGAAGCAAAGCTCAAACGTAGAGCATCTTTGTTGAAAAAAAAAACACTTAGAAGCTCGTGGCTTACTTTTAAGACATGTGGTCCCGGACATACGCTTGATTTTGTTCTTAAAAACCACAGTGTTGCAATATCCTACTTTGCTTCTGGTGTCCCTCTTTCGGTTTTGCGAAAACATATCAACAATTGCATATGTCTCTTTCATTTGGTACTTTTCCTGAACATTTGGACGAGAAGAAAGGCAAAACCGCCCAATAGGTGAGTTAAAATATGATTCCAAATTATTCGTGTTTTGTTTTTATTTCGCAATTGAATCAAGGGTATAAAACGCTTATAAGCAATGCATATATTTTGTTTTCACTATACTACGTTTTAATTGCACAAACAACTACACATTAATCCCTGCACAGTGAAAATAAAAAAAGCTATTCTTCAATGAGTGTGAACTGCTATATATTCCGAGATTAAGTACGCATGAGCAAACGATGCTTAAACTTTTCCGATAAATAATATATCTTATGATTTTATGTATAAATCAGAAACATTTTATATCAGACTATTTTTATGTAGTGTTTAAGTAGATTGTTACACCTAAGTAGACTTACTACAGTGTTCCCCAAGCATAATCTCTCGATGTTTTTATATATATATATATATATATTTTTTTTTTTTGTTTTAAACAAGGGCACGTTACAAAGTCTTATTAGAGAATTCTGCGAGTTACAGGAACATTACGATTACTGATGACTACATATCAACCTTTATACTACTAAAATACAGTTTTCAATAAAACACAGTAGTATAAATGTTGGTTGAAAATATTGGAGCTGATATTTTATGGCGCACTAACATTAAAATTGCACTAAAAAGTATAATTATATCAATCCGAAATAGTGTTTTGTTGCTGTCAAAATTTTCGCAATGTCTAAAAATCAAAAAGGTGAAAAATAGCATTAGGAAGGCGATAAAAGCAACTTACTTTGACGAGAGGAAGCAGCGAGCCTTCAGTATGACTGGAAGGCAAATGGACTGGTTAATTAACTGTGGGAAGACAAATATAAAGAACTGCTTTCGAATTCAAATTGAGATTTGCATTAGAGTACGTAGTATCTGACCTGTTTGTTCAGCGTTTCAAAATATTTCATACCTTTTTTCAAGATATTTCATACCTTTTTCGAGCACTGTCGAGTCATGCTGAAATACTTATGTTGCCGTCCTTCGGTTACTGCCTCCTCTTTATCGCCATCGTTGGTTTTAGTTATGAAGTGCAGGAACTAGCATCACGGAAAGTATCACAAAATAAGTTGTTTCCTCATTAACAGATTAAAAAGTCACAATCAAGTGTAATGTTATATGCACATAGCTCAGAACAAACACCAAGCGGCCTGGCAGAATTTTTCGTATTTCTATAGTATTAACCTAAGCGTATATTTTGAAGTTCTCAAAAAAATATTCAATATTTAATGTTAATGACTAAAATTATTAAAAATAAGCTCAAACGTTTTGTTTTTTGCGTTTTATAAAGTACGCGTGTTTGATTGCTCTTTCCAGGTCAGGAATTGCCAGATTTTGTGGGTGACGCAGACGAAAAAAAAAATTATGTAATAAAGCTGCTAGACAATTGCGATAAACAGAACCAAATGTACAAGGTAAACGAAGTAAGTAATTTGAACTATGCCAAATGTCTACCAAAAGCCGCACAAGCAAATTTGATTTCTAATGATCGCTTGCTTTTCTAACCTTTCAGAAAGATATAGTAATAAACTTCAAAAGTTGCACCTACACTTGTCAGGGATTAGGAATCAAACCACAAGATAAAGTGGAACGAATTCCAGAAGGCTTCATCTGCGACACCAAGAACATGGTGGGTTGAATTTTGCGGTATACAGGCTAACTATTTTAAACATTAAAAAGCAGCAGGGAATCTAATTTATTGTGCACTGGAAGAGCAAGTTCAAATCTGATCAAACCACAGCTGTAAATTTCAAGATGTTTTTTTACGTCTCGTTCTCTGGAATTTTACTATTATTTTTAATGTCCACCTTAGCTACTTCTGAGTAAACGGTCAACTGTCTCCTATCATTCGCCAAACCTTATTAAAAAGGTGTCATTTATGCTCATTAATTTGCAATGCCAGCTGTTTTACGACTATGAGAGAATATTTAAACTGATTAGCTTGCATTCTTCGTACAACAGACGGATGATGGGTTAGTTCATAGATTTTGAATAAGGTTGTTAATGGTTTGGTTGATAACAGAGCGCTACTAAAACATTTACGTGTTCCTCAACGCTATAGTTGTGTACACTGATTGTTTTGTCCTTCCGTTTTACACAAAACTGGTATACCAGTATACCCGTCCGCAACTGGTTTTTAACAAATTCGAATTCAACATAGCTCAATTAGATATTGATACTTTAGGATTCGAACAAACATTTATAAAGTGCATTGACGTCTTCCTTTCATTCTGATATATCAACATTTGGTCTTTAGATATGAATTATTATTACTACGACATAGTTCCCGCTAAAAATGCGAATAGTTGTTTGTGTGAAACTGAAAATAAAGCCAATTGATACATTATTTCTGTAGAAAATTACCTAGGGAGTATATCTATATTTTGCGTAAATTAAAAAAAAAATCATCACTTGTATTTTTTAGCCAGTTAATCGGAACTTCCGAAAAAAATCCAGTAGGCTTAGAAGCAAATCACAAGGGACAATGGATTTATTACCTGGCTTCGTTTAGCACAATTGACGTAAGGTCTATATGAAATCAGCGCTGTGCCATAATATTTCGTGCAAAACCTCTTTCTGAGATATAAACCTGGGGAAATAAATAAACTGCGCAAAGGACAAGGACAGAGGCAGAAATAAGTACGACACAGGGAGCGGAGACTTCGAACTGCTTATTTGGCGTAGTCACAGCAGTATAAGTAGCAGTAACCAGCTCCCGACGATGAAAGGGAGATTAAACATGATCATCCGAAAAAGCTATTTCATTATCTGACGGTAAAACTGATTGCACGCTTATGCAGTCTTGACCTATCCTTTTAATGAAGTAGGCTTCCACGAGTTTTCTTGCCATCACTTCATTTGCTTTTGCGAGGACACGTGTGCTTCGGAAATCAGTTTAGCAACTGCACTTATTACAATGCGCTGGCCGATGGTCGCCTGAGTTGTTTTTTATCGACAGAAAGTGGTCCCGTGCCCCCGGGTTGAAACATCGCCCAATTTCGCCAATATACACTCGCCCGCAAGAAAGCGGTATTTCATAAATAACACCTGAAGCGCATTCCGTGTGGCAATTTCTGTTCTCCTGTTTGCATTCTTGTGTGCTCGCTTTTGGCTTCATCATATATGGCACACTTCACAGAGTTTGCAAGGCGCCGAAAAGACGAGCAAGACACGGTATCTTGCCGCCACTTTTTTTAAGGTTATGGGACAGGCCATGATGATACGTGATTACGTGAAACTATCCAAAAGGACGGAAAACATAGTATCTTTGCAACCAGAAAGGAAATGGACGTTCGAGGATCTAGCAAGCATTGTTAGGGAAGAATTAGAGGTAGGTCAAATTAAACAAGGAGGAAAACAAGCCCGAAAGCACAAACCAAAACCGGGTGGAATAACGAGGTCGAGGTTGACATAGCACGACGCCAAGGGGCATCTTAGGAGCACACGTGGTCAAAGAAAAAGGGGGACATATCAGCAGACGTAGCGTCCAAATGCTAGAACATCCGGGAGAGATAACGGAAGGCATCACCTTTTATGTAGGCCAAAATTGAGAGTGGAGGAGAACAGTCGATGACGAAGGTAAATAAACAGATAGTAACGCGGCAATAATGTTTTGAGTGCATATTAAAGCTGAGGGCAGGAAGACAGACCGGCGTCAACACTCAGTGACCGCACGGAAGGGGAGAAGGGTTGAGAGTGAAGAGGCACGCGATTATATTAACCAGACAATTGGAGATACTTTTTCGCAGCTTGAACATAAGGAAACCTTCGAGAGCACTGGCAGCACCAGGCTAAAGGAAGAACAGAACAGAGTAAATATGGAGGCGACCACAAGGGAAACGGGCAAACCTGAAAGTAAGGTTCTAGCAAGTACAGTGACTGGCTTAGGTGACATACCCACGGAACTCATATAATCCTAGGGAAAACAATCAAATTGGGGTTACAACATGTGAGTAACCAAATAATTATTGAGGAGACGTACCGAACGATTCTAAACTAATCAAAATTAGGCTAATATATAAAGGCAAAAGAAACAAAAGCGTCAAGTTGTACCGCTCCATAACAGTAACATCAGTTTTATACAGATGAACTATGCAGGTAGTAAAAAAAAAGTTGAAGGAATGGGCAGAATGAATGCACTTCTGGAAGAGCTTCAAAATTAATTCAGAAAAGACAGAAGGCTAGAAGATAGCCTATTTTTCACAACTCAATAGGAAGTCTTTGTAGATCGTTCGGATGACTCCAATAACGATACCAAATACTCCGCCACCGCCTTTGCTCAAGGGTAGTATCGTTATCGGACACCGTTATCGGGGTTATCGGAGGTATCAGAATGGTCCGCTAAAGCTCCCGGATGTATGGAGATAACAGTGAAGAGTCAAAGCCCCTTTAGCGTAATCGGACACCAAAGAAGCATACGACAAAGTGAACAAAAAAAAACACTGGGATCGGCTGAAGTGGTATAAATTCCATGCAAATTGGGTTTCTTCATTAGAGCCAACGAATTCACCGGACCCTTTAATTCCTTGGCGGAAAGCCTACGATCCATACGACCACAGAAAGATACTACTCAAATCTAGAACACGCATACTAAAATAACTTAGGGACAATGACACACTCCTTTGAAGCTCACCACGCGCATTTAGCAGGAGGACGCTACAATTATCAGACACGCACAAACTAACATATTAATCACAGAACATCACAAGCACTACATTAGCGACGCACCACACACACCCACATGCACACACTGCGGCCTCTACCCTAATAACAAACATCAATTGTGGGAATGCCCAAAAAGTTGCTCCCATCATCAAAAACACACTCGACACCCTGCCAGCAACACTGACAAGGGAGCTGGGAGGAATGGGTCACCCTCCCCCCCTCTCCCCTTTCCTGACAACGAACCCCATCTTGGCCGCTCCTGGCACAACACGTCAAAGGCGTGCTAGGCGAGAGTGGTGACCACGGGCAAACGAACTTGGTGATTCAATCAAACGTTTGCTCTCCCTCTCTCTCTCAACGTGTGCACACAGAGAAAAGGGTAGTAATAACCGGAAAAGTAAATAGCAATAAAAAAGGGCTCAGACAGGGCTGCGTATTGTCACCCCTGTTATCATGCTCTTCATGAAAGAAGGGGTGACAGTGTAATTGAAACATAAGTGAAATTGAAGAGAAAATAGAGCAAAGCTATATAAATTTTCAAGTGAGTTGTATGGAAGGAAGGAGACATGTAATACAAGTAGTACTCAGGACAGGTAACCGCTATTCATTACAAAAACTAACTAGAGTATGTGTAGAGGAAGGGGACAGCTTGTGCCTGAGTTTTAATAGTAACGATGTTTGAATAATGGTGTTCAATGACGAAAAAAGGGAAACCCTATAAATACAAGACATATAAACATATAACATGTAGAAAAATACAAATATCTGGGAGTATGGCTCTATGAGGAAGGAATATTTATTTATCTATATAGTTATTTATTTATTTATTTATTTATTATTTATTTATTTCAATACCTTTAATGCTACACGGTGTTACAGAAGGGAGCGGGAAAAAAATGAAGGTACAAAAAAAAGGATTCAACATAAATTAGTTAACATAATAGTTTTCAATGCCAGACTTGAATGCTTCCAGAGGAACATAAAAAAATATGATTTAGAAAGGCAAAATAAATTCAGCAACTATGAAACTAAGAACCCTATGCTGTGGAATTATAATAAATACAAAGTGATCAGTGGTATGTTAAAAGGAGCAACGGTGCCAAGACTGCCTCTTGGCAAAAGGTACTGTGCATGGGATCAGAGCTTCAATCAGGATTGAAAACTCGACAAAGGAACCTGGGCAGGTTAGCACTGAAAGCGCATGGGATCACGGGAAATGAAGGGGTGCAAGGTTACGTGGGCTGGTTGTCCTTTGAAAGCTGAGAGGGAATTAGTAAATTAAAATTTATGAAAAAGTTAACTCAAATGTATCATACTTGGTGGGCACAAAAAGTTTTCAAGTACCCACACTTCAAAGGTTTAAACGCAGAATGGTCAAATCGAATTCGCAAGCAGACAAATAAATACCAGCACACAAGTTCTGGGGCCGAGCAAACTAGTTAATTAAAAAGGGAGTGAAAAATGCAGAAATGCAAACGCTGGAGGAATAGAATCCAGAAACTATCTGCTTGAACTATGTATGACAAAACAGGACATAAGAAAGAAAAAGCTGTTTGATAACTCATGAGCAAGTTCTTTGCTATTTGAGGCGATAACGGGAATGTTAAGAACAAAGACGTATATAACTAAATTATGTGCCATGCGCCATAGTGAGAGTGAGACACAAGAACATTTGGTTTTGAAGTGCAGTTTGCACGAGGCTTTGCGCTCCCCTCCCTGAAGAGGTGACGTACCTGGCGGGGGAGCCGGGTTTTTGCTGGTGAGCGTAGAAGAATGCAGGAAAAAAGATTTACAGTAACAAAGAGAGGGTTAGAAAATTGGTGGAAGTTATCCAGGAAAAATTGCATGATGTGAAACTAACTAGCGCAGCTGGGTACAGCGCGGGACAAAAGAAAATTGGGACTCCCTCCCGCGTGGCTTCGGCCTAAAGTCTCAACCCTGCTTCCCAGTAGGCCCAGTGTTTGCGGTAGCGCAAATTAGGTTTGACAAGAGGAAAACTGGCGACTCCCTCGCCGGGGGAGAGGGCTGGGGGTGATGCTTTCAGTTTTTTTGCCCGATCCCTTAAAGGTCATTCTAGTGATATCCCACACTACCTGTTGATAGTTACAAAAATGCAGAGGGAAAGCAAATTGGTTTAGAAAAAACGAGGGGGAGTGAATAATATTTTTCGTTTCTGGGCTAGGTGGCGCAATTTTATAAAGAGTACAACCATTAGCACGTCTTCATCTACCCATTCGTTCATCCATAAAAATATGCAAGAAACAACAACAGGAAAGATTAGGCTCGTCCGATTTACCTGCGCCTCCTGCACCCGTGCAGAAAAGTGTAGGGTAGTGAACTTCCGGTCGTACCTCAATACACATCAAGAAGTGTACTGTTCTGCACTTTTCTAAGCCGGTGCAGCAGGTGCAGGTAAATCAAACGAGCTATTTGTTCACTGGCTGCGCAGCCATGACTATGTCGGCCGTCGCCGCAGCGAGCGAGCCGCTGCCGACGATCATACCGAGTAGAAGCATGGCTGCGGTTACGGATGACCTCAATATAGGAGAAGTGAACTAGTGCTACGCCGCCCTGAAAACCCAGCAATTGGAAACGGTACTGTAGCTACATATTTGTAACCAAAAATATACTCCGATCCGCCATCGATTAAAACGGGGACATTTCTTTTTTGATAAATCGCCGATCCTGCGTTAGCGGTTCTCGTGAGTTACGTAATCGACGTTATTTTTCATGGTTTGTATATCATAAAACCCCTTTTTTGTGCCTTTCGTAAAAGGAGTCTTTGTCGCAATTAAGATAATCATCAGTTTCTTGCGCACAGCCGGATCTTTCGGAAAGCAAACAAGGATGCCGTGAAAAAGAATAGCAGGCAGCGGAGTTCACCAGATTTAAGCCCACGCTAAAGTGTTCTTATGTTTATGACATTATTCGTGGGCCGGGCAGTATTGTCATTGCAGCACAACATGTGTATAGTGGGGGCACGTGTGTGCAATCAGTTTTTAAATGTTCTGTAGTGACGGCACTTCTACGGCCAACTGCACTATCCAGAGCACACATTCGTCTATGCAAACAACATCCTACAAGCATTTGCCCCTTCAGAATAGTGCAATTTAGATTCCCATACGCAGGTGCGGTTCGCGTGCGTACTTCGTTATTGTTAGAATGGCTAGAATCGCGCTATTTAGACTGATTCAATAAACATGACTCCTCACTTTGTCTTTGTAATTATCATCGAATCTCGTTTGCGTCCAATGACGTGACACGAAGCAATAGAAAGGCATCTTACGAGTAGCGTTGGAGCAGCGGCGGGAACTCAAGTGCTTCAAACATTCTCGCCATATTAAAAGCCGCCAAGAGAGGCCAGCCTCAGCGCCCACGTGTAGTTTCGAAACGCAACCACCAGGCAACGCAAAACTGGCGGAATGGTCTATTAAGATATCTAACCAAATTTAAGAAGTCATTAATGTAAATTGTATGAAATATATCATGAACTAACGTTATGTACAATCATTTCAGAAATGCCCCAAGGAAGGAAACTGTCCAACTCCCCCCCTGCCCAGTTGCTGAAAAAAGGCATCCAAAAATAAACATGCTCGAAATAAAAAAGTATGTTTTATGACGCAAGCAAAAAGCACAACGCTTCAAATGCGAGTCTCGCGGCATCACCCAAGCACATGACTTGGCACGCCATAAGTGCCTCGTCTCTACCCCCGCATGTTTTTTTGTTTTTTTTTAATTCAGTACAATTTACAATGACCGATATCTATGCGGAAAATATGACCTATGCGCTACACACCTTCAAAACTTTCCCAAATAGTTAACACATCGACACGGCGTCGATACTTGATTGGTATCCATGAGTGCGGAGGCAGAGACGCAGCCGAGTCGGCGTGCCAATTGTGCTCTGATAACGTCGCTAGAGTTGCATCCGACGAGTTGTACCTTTCTTTCGCTGGTGCCGCACTTTCATAAAAATGTTCACGTGTTCTCAAATTTCCACGGAAATATGACCGTTTACACATGGATTGAAAAACCTTCTTCGGCGAACCACGGCGAACGAGCAGAAAACGTGTCTTCCAGCACACTGCCGTCCAGCCTCTACAATGCTCCGAAGTGTCAACTTCCGGTACACCCGAGATGGACGATAAGAAACATCCACTGGCCGCCTCCAAGCAGCAGTGACCAAGAGGGGATGCACAATCCAGAAAATCGTAATTGAGATCATTGTCCCGGACCGATTCAGAGTTTCAGGCAGCGATGAGCGGATTTCGCCAATCGGCTCTAAATTCCGCTCATCGCCGGCACGGATCCGCCCTTAAATTCGCAAGTGTAAACGCATCATTAACGTTGTATATGTAATAATATGGCGCGCATTTAGACAGTAAATATTGTAATCGGATGAAATTTTGCAGAGTAAGGCTAGAAACAAACTGAAACACCACGAAAAAAAAAAAAAAACGAATACACTCGTTCGCCGAGGCGCAGAGGAACAAGCGGAGCGACGAGTTGAAACCACCTAATGGTGCACGCGTCACGTTATTCTAAGGCGGCAGCGCCCATTCAACGAGAATCGAAAAGGTCTATGAGAAAGCAAGTTCCCTGAAACATAAAATACCGCATCAATATTAGCGAGGACTTGTGAAGAACAATTCTTTCAACCATTAGGGTGTGGCTGTAGCCGAAGCATACGGGAATACAATTTGGCGAACCTTCTGACTGAAGGGACTGGAGTATTCTAAGTTTGCAGCGAAATAATCATTCAAATAAACGTGTGCTTTTACGTTCGATCTTCTGAAGGTATGCTTGTCGAGATTTAGCGTGTTGCTAGAGCTTTATTGACAGTCACAGAAAACATCGAACGTTAATTTACTGCTCTGTGACAGTCGGCTTGGTTTGAAGTAATTTCACATTTTTCTTTTTATGTTTGGTTACGTTATTACAAAACTCCAGTGGATTATATTGTCACGAATGACAATTGATGAGGCGGTGAATAACTGAATAAACTGAACGTTTACTGGGGCGAACGTGTGCCCAACGCAAAAGAGAAGCAGGTTAGTGTCGCAGGCGTCGATGTCGGCGAAACAGCATGATCAAGTGCTGAGCCGAAAACTGACTGTGTCTCGCCACGCGAAGTCCCTATGTACACGCGTTGGCTTGCGCGTATTAGATTCAGACCTCGAACAGTAAGGCACTGCGCGTAGAACAATCGGACCTCTAACAAGCAATAGGGTTCTCTAATTTACCAGAATTCTCAATTGAAAGTATAAATAAAGGACGCGGAACTCCCAGGAATCAAACCCTGGGCCTCCGCATGAAAGTCAGGCGCGGTAACCACACTGCCATGCACGCGCCTGCTCGCTCGCCGACGCGCGTGGTATTGCTCCCCCCTTACAAAATAGCATCGTCTCGATACCACGTGAAATAAAAAAAAAACAGAGAAAGGCAAACGAAATAATAGGAAAGTACGGAGGCTGGCAAAACACAATCCTATCAAGCGTTGCAAGGAATCACAGTTCCCAGTCTTATCGTGCGTAGTACTGCTTAAGGCGCACGACATGGACGACCTCAGGTCGTTGTGGGCTGCGTGATGCTGTTCTTGTTCCGTCTGGCATCACCTCGTAGTTCAGCTCCCCGTGGCGAAGAAGTTACCTTGTATGGTCCGAAGTATCGTCATAGCAGTTTCTCATTGAGGCCGCGGCGACGGATGGGCGTCCACACCCACACCCTGCCTCTGGGATGGAAGTGGACGTCCCTGCGACGAAAGCTGTAGTGGCCCTCGTCGACGCGTTGTTGCTCTTGAATCAGGAGTCGGGCGAGCTGGCAAACTTCTTCGGCCCGTTGACCAACCACCTGGGCGTCGTCGCGTTTATTGTCAGCTGGCTCACGGAGCAGTATCGCGTCGAGCATGGTCGTTACCTTCCGACCATGTACCAGTTAGGAAGGTGAAAATCCAGTAGTCTTTTGAACCACTGTGTTGTAGGCGAACGTGACGTAGGTCAACACCTCGTCCCACGTCTTGTGCTCTACGTCGACGTACATAGAGATCATGTTGGCGATGGTCTTGTTGAGTCGCTCCGTGAGCCCGTTGGTCTGCGGGTGGTATGCAGTGGTACGACGGTGGCTGTTGTGACTGAGCCGAGGAATTTCTTGCTCGGTTGTGCCATGAACAATGATCCACGATCTGTAATCAGAACTTCAGGAGCGCCGTGCCAGAGGACGATGGACTCGATGAAATATTTGACGATTTCAACAGCTGTTCCTAAAGGAAGGGCTTTTGTGTCTGCGTACCGCGTGAGATAATCTGTGGCGACGATTATCCAACGGTTTCTCAGGGTCGACGGAGGAAAAGGATCAAATAGATCCATTCCGATCTGCTGGACCAGTACAGTTGGCGGAGGAACTGGCTGCAGAGGACTTGCCGGCTTCGTCGGCGGTTTCTTGCGTCACTGGCACTCGTGGTTTGATCGGGTGTAGAGGTGGACGGTTTTGGGGAGCTTGGGCCAGTAATACTTTCCACGAGTACGTGCCAGTGCCCGGCTGTAACTAGGTGTCCGAACGTCGCGTCGTCGTGACTGGAGTGTCGAACCGGAACCGAACCGTTTTTTAGCCGAACCGATACTGAACCGAATAGAAATCATCGCCGCCATCTTGGAACTGAACCGGAACTGAACCGAAAAACAATACGACGGTAACCGGTTCAAAACGGTTTGCGGTTTTTTTTTTTATTACAAAATGAAGTTTTGAGAAATTAAAATTGGTGGTTGTATTGTTATGTAGTGACCTAAATGTCACATACCGAATTGCAATGAGTGAGAAATTGTAGGTTTTCGTGGCGCTTTTTTATTGGCACTATGATTAATCATGTGTCACGTGGTCACGTGGCGTCATGGTGTCAAGACATGCCGTCAAGTAATGTCACGCCACGTAGCCCCGTGACGTGATCACGTGACTCACTGGGTTAGGTTTCCTTAAATTGAGAACGTCACTTGGTTTATTAGCGTTGCTAACACCGCGACTTCACAAAACACCACGACTTCTCACCGCGAGTCACATTACACCGTGACATACTCGATGTCATGAGCCTGAGTCCAGTGCTCGGGTTCATAACAATCAGCATCGCCGAACATTCGAATAATGGCTCGTGTTCAATGAAAGATGAGAATAGCCGAACTCTAACAATGTCTAAAGCTCAACTCATGCTTTAATATTTGCTAACCCTAGCGCATGAGTGCGATAGACACTGACGGTTTACTATAATTAGCGCCAGATCACGTGGCCGCTTGTTCTAATGGCGAGTTGAGCAGAGGAAAGCTGTTTCTTTCCTTTATTTTGCGGCGTATCCCTCTGCGCGGAGAGAAAAAATATTGGGTGTTTTTGTAAGTTATCAACGTCACGTAGTCACTCTTAGCGATATTTACTGAAAGTACAAAAATTGTTGCACGACCCATTTTACATGTACAAGTCATTGAGGCACCTAAACAGGTTTTGGTTGTTGTTGACCCCGAAAAAAAAGTATTGAGAGGACTAAATGTGACATATTAATTCGATGATATATAGAATAACAAGTGCGTACGGGAAGGATCCTTGAAAGGAAAAATCCTAGTGGCCTCAGAGGGACAGCCGAACGTTGGCAGCCACTGCAAGTCTCACACGAGTGTCGTTCTCAAATTTCCCCCAAGGCTTGACCACATCCGTATTTTGTTTGAACTTCAGAGTTTTTGGGTGCCAAATAAAAGGAATGGAAGATTACTGTTAACAAATGACACAAATATAATTGTCAAAGTAACACCCGCAAATGAAAGTGAGAGTCCCTCACGAATAAAACGTATTTGGAGAAGCATCGAAATAAAATTTAAAAAAAGGTGAGGGGTGTTAAAACGTATTGTGTCGTAAAGGTTCCTATTCTCCGCGTGGTCTAGGAAACTACCTTGTTTGCAAAAACACTCTTTCCAAAAACCGCGTTTTCGTGGTGCCAGAAGCCCGCGGCGTACCTCACAACGCTGCACCAAGCAAGAATAATTTATGTTTCTCCAATATCTGATTTGCACTGGGCGCGAACCTTCCGCAGCATACATTTTGAACCAGCGTACTTGATTTTCTCAGCAAGAACAAATCGCAATGACCACCAGCATATAGTGCGATGATGTCACGTGCAAATCATGTGAAACAAAATCTTTTTTTTGTGTGTGAAATGCGATGGCTATGCGGCAGCCTAATAAAATGTTAGAGCGTGCATGGCTGATAAAGCAGAGTTGTAAAGTGAGGGCCCAAAAGAAGTTCGCGTAAAATCGGGTATAACATTAGCCTCCTGAGATTTTGTTTTCCAAAGATTCGAAATCGTGCAAGCCGATGCCAAAATCTGATTTATATTAGAAATATATTGTTTGCCCTTCGCGCTGTCTGTGTGTAATTATGAACATCATTGCATGCATTCCTATGTATTCATTTTTGCAACAAGGCATGGTGTGTGAGATTATTTAGAAGAATACCATTCATTATCTTTCTTTCTGCACATTTCGTGTATTTTCCTTCGGATCTATTAGGCGAGCACACAGTCCTTTTTGGCA